CCAGGTGGATGCTGCACACTGGTGGTGGATGAGGACGTCCCCCCCATTGTGTAAAGCGCTTTGAGTGCCCAGAATAGCGCTATATAAATGTAAGGAATTATTATTATTATTATTATTATTATTAAAATAAGCCGGACCGAGAAAATCTTTTAGGTAATTTATTCCTCTAAGTTATTAACATGGTCCCACTGGTGCATGTGTTCCTTACACATACAAAACCTTTTTGAAGTTCTCCCATGCAGGCAATTGTGCTAAGACTGTGATCTATTCCCTGCAACATCAGGCCACAATCAGGTGTCCACAATCAGGTGGTTTGTCTTGGTCTGGCATCTCAGCTGAGACCTGTCCACTATGGGTGACCCTGCCAGTACTTGTGAAGTACCAGTGGTGAAGCTCTCAGTATCACTGATGCACAGAAGCCCTCACAGCACGTCAAGCTGCAAACCATGTGAGGGACCCTAACCTAACCTACCCTATACTAACCTATCACTGACCGACCAACACTCAGAGGAGTCCAGCAACTGACCAGCAACACTAAGAGACCGCTCAGAAAACCCTGCAAAGCGCATGTCAAAAACACAGAAAACTTTCCAAAACAACCTGACAGCCAGAACCCAAGAGCCACATCAGCAACCATCAAAACATTCAGCAGAGTGATAAAAACTTTGAATGAAAAGAAAACTTAATGTAAAGACTTACTCTATAACTATATACAGTATGTACATACGTGCCCTTGATCTTTCATGGGACACTATGATGGCTCAGTGTCTGGGCTTCTTTCTTCGGGGTTCCTCCTCGGGTAGTGGCTCTCCACTGATGTCCACGTGGATTTGAGGAGCGCTGCTGCTTTCGCTGGACCTGCTCTCCGTGATCAAGACTCGTCCATCAGGCAGCTCGGTCTCCAGCAGCGTAGGCCGGTGGAGCTTCTCCCACAGCCGTTGCTTGATCCCCAGGCCTCGCTTGAAGCGGTAGCGGCTGCAGCCGGTCTCCACGACGGAGCGAAAGATGTGCTGATAGTCCTGCACGCTTCTGCCGTGGATGGAGAGCTGCTGCTCCTGCTGACACTCGTTCACTGAGGAAGACACTGATGCTGCTGCTGCTGCTGCTGCGGGACGGAGGACAGGGAGGGCCGCCGCGTTCATCAGGTGTCGCTTCTTCAGCGCTGGGTCAGAGATGCAGCTGTAGGTGTGATCTGACCTGACCGCCGCTGCGAGCTGCTCAACGGTAGAGACGCCCTGTAGCCAGAAGTGACTCGTGTGTGCGGGGAGAGCCCTGGTTCTTCTTGAGCGACGCTGCTCCATCAAGATGACCCAAGAACAACTTTCCAAAGTAGAGAAACTGATCAAACTTTTCAAAAGTTGTCGAGAGTTTGTTGCGAGACGATCGGGTCAGAACCAGCTGTGTATATTAAAGATCAACTCAAGTTGCTGTAGTGACAGAATGACGAGCCTCATTTAAATGTAAACAATATTTAATATCAGCAGTGAATTAATGAAATCAGCACGAACTCTGTGCTTTTATAATTGAGTTTTTATTAAATGCAGTAGCTAAATATCTAAATTATGATTATACAATAAAATGCTGGTCTTATATTAATAAAAAATAAAAAATAAGCATAAATGGGCGTTTTTTATAGGACGAATGTTGACCACTGAAAATCGTCACAGGTTTCAGAAATCTGGTCATGTTAGTGAATATTACCATTGATTTTTGTTTGCTTTTGGGATGGTTTGCGTTTCATTAAAAAAAAACACTGAACTAATATTCTCGTTTCTATATTTACTTCATAATTAACTAGGCCTATATCAGACCAACCGGGACTTTAGCAATGACATTGTTCTTTTGATGCTTTGTATACTTAAATTTTCACAATTTTCCTGCACTGACTGGGTGATTTAATATTTTTATAGTATTATTAAAATTATTAATCATAATAATGCTATAAGCAATACAATAAACCAAAATACATTCCAAAAAAAAAATAAAAATCAAAAATATAAACCAGTATCAGATACAACGACAACCAGCATTAATAAGATTAAAAAAGCTAAATATACAACAGTTTATTTTGATTAGCTATTAGCTTATTAGGTCAGGGAAGTGCTAATCATTCATTCTGAGTGAAGGTTTTTATTTATTATTATTAAAATAGCTTTAAGAAACTTAAAACAACCATGCCAAATAAAAAATATGTAAATATGCGTGCCCTAAAACATATTGGTTTATTTGACTATGGCAATTTTATTTATTTACATTTTATTTAATGGTTTACTTTTAGGCTATCACAAAATATTAACCACTTTCATTGACCAATGTGCTCTCCAACAAATAAACAGAAAGGGAAACAGAAACTAAATAGTAAAAAATGTATTTAAAACATAAAAGTCTTTAATCTAGACCAAAAGATATTGTTGTACAGAGCTCGTCTGATTGACTGTGGTAAGGCTCATTTATACACATATATACTGTGTATAGAGGAAAATAGGATGCAATATTTCAAGTTTATTTAAAAAGCTGTGCATATCTTCAACATTAAATGAATATGAAATAAACTTTTTATAATAAAAACTGACTCCAGGATCATATCAATGTTTGAACTGTAGTTTACAGATTTGTATTTAAAATTGAATGGCAAAGCCACAAAACGAATAAAATAAACAAAAAATAGTGTGATGTGACAAATCTGATTAACAAACTAAAAATATATCATTAAAATAACAGAGAGGGAAAATTACAAACACAGGAAAAAAAATTTATGTTTTTTACTTCCCAGTCCCAGACGTTCCTGAAATGTCATAATCACATGTCCAAGTGTTTCTTTACAACAGTAGTATGAAAATCGCCCCTGGTGGTGATGTGATCAGGACTGTAGCTGGAGAGGCAGGAAGTCAGGCCCGGCGCTACGGGGGGGCAAAGGGAGGCATTGCCCCCTCAGAAAGAGTTTGTGCCCCAATGTGCCAACAATCCCAATTTTCATAAGGGATTGTTTACTCAAACTGAAAATTCTTTCTGTCATTAACTATTAACACTCCCGTCGTTCCAACCGTCAGAACACACATCTAAATATTTTAAAATATATGACATAGCAATTGAATTATGAAAATTGGTGAGATTAAAGCTAGTCCTATAGTCCAGAGATCCGGTCCCCGCGTCAGGTCTGGTGCGCCCGTAAATAGCCTTTAAAACGCGCACACGGCGATGGAGGCGCACTCAACTCACAAGGGAGAAAATTGGTGACATGATAGGAGCAGCTTAATTCATTACATGTTTTGGTTAACTAATTATTTAAACACAACTCTCTTGAGCTCTAAAAGGGAAAAAAACACATAAGAAATTTGCTGTTAAATTAATTTTAGCAGAGACGCAACTGCCAGTCATTTATTAGTTATTCGGGAAGATGTAGCCTAATAAAAATGTTTTAATAAAAATAAATAGTTTACTGCACAGTCCCACAGTAGGCTACACTATAAATAATATTTTAAATGTATTTATTAATATTATTATTAACATTATTGCGATTAAGCTAAAATTGACAAAATGCAGAACCCTTTCAAAGTTTGCTTTCATTTTGCTGAAAAGTGCACTTTTACAGTTGTGTAGAGAAACGTTCCATTATGCAGCAGCAGTCAAGGTATAACACATAATAAATGCCTTTTGGGTTTAAAGATGATCGGCCTGCGAAGTCAAGTTTGCAGTGTTATAAATGGAATAGGTATAGTGCTTAAGTGGATTTACCGCGGATCAACCGAGAAACCTCGTGCGCTGCAGGTAGGCAGAATGATAATCTTTTGAAAATATGTAATTTAGGCTGTACTGCTATCTATTGTGTATATTTACAACAAATTCAGCAAAATCATTTTGTTAGAATAGTTTCAATTAGCATGTTGTACTGACCGCTGCATCATTGGAGTAAGCCAGATTTCCACAAATATTGCATTCTATAGGAAACTAAATCATTTAAAAGCAAGATATTTTCTGAGAAATATTCAGGTTGTACTCATTATGGGTATTGTATAAGCTATAGTATTATAAAATGCTAGTTTAAGTAATTAAATGTGAAATAAGTGATCAAATCAAGTTTGGAGGATGGTGACAAAGTATTAACGTTGTAAATGAAAATTAATTTAAAGAATGTCTGATTTTGGTCAGCAGAGGGCACTAAACTCTGGTCAATGTCATTTACTGTTAAGACACACCCTGTTGAAAAATTTAATTATTTGAAACCCATGACCTATTTTTGAACAAAATTAATTTATTTTTGGGGTTCCACTGTGATCCTAAAATAGAGCTTAATGTGAAATTCTACTTTGACATTTAATTTGGCATAATATATTCAGTATTACCCATTAAACGCAGCCTTGGTACAATAATTTGTACTTTTAAAAAAAACCCTGGTTTGGGATTAGGCATGGGCCGGTAAAAGATTAAAAATAATAATGTTAAATTACTAAAACTACTAGTAATTCACTTAAATAGCATAAAATAGTATAAATAGTCAAATGTAAACCTGACTGAGAAAATAGTCTTGACTGGCTGTTTTTGAACACTTGAATTTCACAGGATGCACCAGCCCATATTGTAGTCAGTTAGTTATGTACTCATGTAAATAAGGACGACAAAAACTACAGACCTGTTCATTAGACCTTGAAGCCTAATATTTCTGCTGCTGTAATGTTGATGTTAACTAACCAAAATAAAGAAAGTTAAACTTGATTTTAAGTATAACATCATTTAAATAACTTGTTGCTAGCTGTATTTTTATTAGTGCTGTCAAATGCTTAATCACATGAAAATTAAGTTTGTATTTACATAATATATTTTCGTGGAGTGTATATATTTGAGAAACTATTCATTTATTTCTTCATATGAAATATTTATATCTACATCAAATTATAAATAAATAAATAAATATAAAAATGATGTACATGTTATGAAGATGCAAATTTAATTTTGGGTTTGATTAATTATGATTAATTGCTTGACACAACTGTTTTCATTTCTCCAGAGGTTTTAATGTCTCAAGGAGGGACTGGTTATTACGGTCGTGAGTGTGACTGGTGGTCTGTTGGTGTTTTCATTTATGAGCTTCTAGTGGGTGAGAAGTGTCAGCTTCATATGCATCTCTTGAAATTTTATTTCAGTGTTCTCATAATCAAATGTTTTCTTCTGTCGATCTGGGCAGGCGACACTCCATTTCATTCCGAGTCTCTGGTGGGCACATATGGAAAGATCATGGATCACAAGAACATCTTAACTTTCCCAGATGATATTGAAATGTCAAAGGATGGCAAAGACCTCATCTGTGCCTTTCTGAGTAGCAAGTGAGACTGAGAAAATGAAAGTTTGATTTGAGTTTTTTTTTTTTTTTTCTTGTAAAATTCAGACTCTTACTCGCTTAATATCCCCTTACTTGTTTGTTTTTAGAGGTTGGCTGGTAACATTAATTTTTTTATTAATTTAAATTTAACTTTACTGTAAAAAAGAGCTAATTTTCAGGACAATTTATTACACACATGATGAGATTTCTTTTGTAGTTTGGAGTTTATAACCTGGGTTTGACATTACCTTTTTTGATCACCAGCCACAGTGGCTAGGAGTTTTCCAACATTACTAGCCACTCGCCATTTTCACTAGCCACAATTTTAATGTTGGAAAAATATATTTTATATTGATAAATTTGAATTTGACATGCTAACTTTACTTAATTTATACTTTGTGTCCACATGCCTCCTTGTTCATTTAATATTTTTGTGTGTTGTTTATGACCTTGCTCAATGAGCATGAGTACAGGGGATGTGATTTTTATAGTGTCACTATGCAATTAATTTAGTTTTTTTTTTATAAATAGTTTATTTCACATCTGTTTCCAGGGCTCGACACTAAGGATTTGCAAAGTTTTTCTCTGGCTGCACCGAACTAATTATTACTTAGAAACACATTTTAAATAATGTGTAAAGCAAACAAAATATAGCTATACATACACTTTTTATACACAGTTGACACTTAAAAACAATACTCTCATGTATTCTCAAAGTGGCTAGTGGGAGTGGCTGTCTAACCCGCCACAGCTGAAATCTACCCGCATTTGTTAATGTGTTAATGTCAAGCCCTGTTTATAACGTATTTAATATAATCACAGGGTAGCTTAGATTTGTTATCGTTGTTATCATATGACATTTTCCCTATTTTTCCCTATCGATGTACTTTTTTCCAAAATGACAATCTCAGGGAATATTTCATAAACACCAAATCATATATTTTTTAATTTAATTAAAGGAGAACATACAAGTCTATATTAATTTGATGCTTTTAAAAGCTCTTCATACAATAAGTCTTTCATAAAACTTTAATGTCCTACAGCTTTTACTAGACACACTAGCTTAATAAAACCTTACTTGTTTGTTTTTAGAGGTCGGCTGGTAGTGAAATTAATTTATTATTTTTTCTATTTGAAATTAGCTTCACTGTAAAAAAAAAAAAAGTAAATTTTCTTGACAATTTTTTACACATTTTGATCAGATTTCTTCTGTAGTTTATAACATATATAATGTAAACACAGAGTACCTAAGATTTGTTATTACTGAAAACAGTCAAGTTTTCTTGCCATAAATTACCAGGCACAGAAAAAAAGGAGATTAATTTAGCAGCTTCAGTGAGAAAAATTAGCAGTTTTTGCTTAGTTTATTCTCAGCTAATGTGATGGAAAAACATATTTTGTCTCTGTAGCCAGAATATGATGATCCATTTCCCCAAACACAAATGTTGGCTATAAAAAAATGAATAATCTTTATTAAACCGTTCAAGATATTCAATGATTTTTTTTTCTCATAATTTTGCAGCCCTGTATAATTGACACACAGTTTTGTTGGCACAACCCAGTGTTGTTGTTGACACTTTGTAGTGTTCTGATTGATTGAATTAGTAAATTCTGTGTATATTTGACAAAATACAACAATGTTAATATAATCTAAGCCTGATTACTACACATACCTAAAATATAAATAAATAGTTTTATTAATATTTAATATATCTTAAGCACCAAATCGCCAAAAAACTTACTAAGCCATATCAACATTTTAATTGAATTAAATTAGATAAAATGTAAAGACAACATACAAGATGATCTTTATTTATGTTATGCCTTTAAAAGCTCTTTATAAATAAAGTCCCTAATAAAACATACATTTCATCTCCTACTGCTTTTACTATATCAGCTTCATGGACGTTCACCCTCCAGCCTGACAACTTCCATCTGAATTCCTCTTTTCTCCTTCCCTCTTTCTCCTCTCTCACATGCCCACATACAAGCATTTCTGATCAAACATACAGAGAGGGGCTTAATGTTTTCTCTCAATGTTTTCATGTAAACACACACACACACACACTCCTCCCTTTGCATTCAGGCTGTTGGAATGTCCCACATGTGGTAGTCCAAACTGCTGCACCGCCTCAATGCAGATGAAGTAAAAGGAAGGGGGAGTGAACGGTCCTTATTTTTGGATGTCTCTCTGACTGCTCCACTCCTCCATGCTGTGCTGTTGGATGTTCTTGGTTTATGGTCATTTAACGGATTAGCGCTTCTCTGTTTGTTTTGCTGACCAGTGTTGTGCTATGTTCAGGGAGGTGAGGCTTGACCGGACTGGAGTGGATGAAATAAAATGTCACCCCTTCTTCAAGAACGATCAGTGGACCTTCGAAACCATATGAGACAGTAAGTCAGTGAGAGCTTGACTTTTTTTTTTTGTCGCTGCCTTTAGTTGTGGTGAAATGAGATGCATCATGTCGTTTATCTGTTTGTGCAGTCAGTACCTTTTATTTCTGAATCGTCTGGCATCGTACTTGAAGCCAAGTCATTTAGCCGAAGGCATAGTTGTCCTAGAACGAGTAGTTTGCTGATCAAATTCCACATTTTGATGAGGCAAAACACATCTTGGATGTTTTAATTACTATTTTAGGTGAAAAACAAAATAATGAGATTTGTGTAAAATCTAAAGTTAACCAAGTCCAGCCCGCCATCTTGTCCTGCCTCTCAGTTCTCTTAAGCCTTGGGCCGGCTCTGTGAAGTGGCCTCTTTTGGGCTCATCATTGAAGACCGGACGAGCTGCAACATTTCGTTCTCCCAGGTTCTGGGAGTAGATGAGCATGTCACCGGTGTAGACTTTGACCAACTTGGGAAGTCACTCACAAGACCTCAGCTTATGGGACATTACCATTAAAATGAAACGTTTCCAGCAGAATATGATGCTTTAAAAAAAAAAACTCCATCAGCACTGGTAACTATGAAAAACACGACTGAGCACTAATAGTATACTCAACACTTTACACTGACATTAAAGACTGAAGTAAGAACGCTGAAAAAACATCCGATTTTAGCACAGAAGAGGTTTTCTTTTCCTAAATTAAATCAAAACTTCATAATATTGTGTTAATGAATTAATTAGTGTGTGTTGCACTGCTGGAGTGAAGGTTAACCAGTCCACACAGTTCATGCAGCTATAATCTTTATTATCTTTTACTAAGAAACTATGTACAATATTTACACGTTGGCTCCAGGTCTCTTGGATGAAGATCTCTCAGCGACGTGGTCTCTTCTGGTCGCCACGCATCTCTGGTGGAGCTGGGGAGCGGGACCACCTTTATGAACCAAAATCGTTCTTTGTACCAGGCTGTAAACACCTTCTTTTCTGCTGTAAAGTTGGCCATTTTAACAGTGGGCTCAATAGAAATTTGCTCCATATGGAGCCAGGACTGCCAGAATTTCATTGAACTGCATTTTCAGTTACTTCTGTATTTGCTTCATGACGGAGAGCGGGAGGTTGCCGTTGTTTGGGCACAAGCTGTAATATTTACTTTTCTGATCTGGAAAGATTCTCATTTGCAAAGGTTTTTGTTTGCTTCCTGGACATCCCCAGCACAAATAATTAAATGATGAGTGGGGTGTTTTAAGCTGAAATGACACACACATTTTGGGGCAGCTAATATTTTTATTATGCTTGTAACATAACCCTTTATAACTGCAATGAAATGAAAGTAGTGTTAAATTTTTCTTCTGAATTAAAAGTAAAACTATCAGAAAGTAACAAACAAATGTAGGACAGGTACTTTTTTATTCCTTTCAGTTGTTACTGGATGGCGGCAAAGCTTGAAAGCAAATTTCCAGTCTATTTTAGATAAAATAAACTGAATTATTAAAGACAGCCAGAGAGATGACTTTCATTTTCATGGCATAAATGAATGTAACTCAGCCTCTTGACTTTTCAACTCTTGTTTATTTCTCAATAGCAAAAAAATGCCAAAAACAGACACCCAAAACCCTACGCATGCTGCGCGACACAGGGGCGTGAACCTGCAGGACCCAGACGCACAGTCCACTCGAAGCTGCTGTGGGAACTAAAGGCCTGTCAACACTCCATCATGGGAGACCACGACACCTTCTCCTCCCTAAAATCCCACCCTTCACCCTTTCACCTCCCAAGACGGATAAGGAAAGAGAAAGAAAGAGAAAGGAATACCAGGAAGAGCTCGAGGAAAACGCCTCACTCATGCCACAAAGAGATTTTTCAAGGAAGACTTCTGGTGGACGGGGCTGAAAGCGAACGGACGATGGATTCTGTCATGTCTGGCAGTAAATATGGATTCTGTATTACTTTCAAGTCAACAAGAATTTCCACCTCAGTTCATCCTCATTATGCAAGCACCATGTAGAGATAAAGGATTGGAAAAGAGATAAAGGAACACAGAATGGACTGAAGAGTTATAATTAACCAACAAACCTTCCCATTCTCAGGCCCTGGAAGGGTCCGTAATGCCCCTTTTAACATTCAGAAGTCTTCAAGCAAAATCTACACTGAGTATCCATATGGTCTGGGCTCTCCCATTTAATCTCAACTCTAACACTGGAAGAAAGTCAGCACCTTAAACTTAAACTAACCCTTCAGTTATTCATCTATGAGCCACATCTACTAAATTTCTAACACAAAGGAACACCGAAGCAGAACTTCATATGTTTTATTTCAGCTTTATTTATTACCTTTGTTTGAACTGGTCTCCCTTTGCGCAGCTCTTCATTCATCTCTGACCTAAAAAGTATTGAAGAAAGTCAATGTTGTCTTCCCTATCCCATTTACTTCTCCCCACAGCATTGACCTCAAAGTTCAGTGTTGATGTTCACAAAACAACAGCGAGCTCTACGATGCCTTCTTAATCTTCTTTTAGCTTTGTGTAAACTACTGTTTGAGAGTCAACAAATTATTACATATATTTGCACCAATCAGACTGATCCAAAATCATTTTGCTTCACGATTAATTGCAAAATATCATTACACATTTAGTTGTCTGGATGCGGAAGTCACACAACACCAGTCTCAATATGTGTTATTAAAAAGCAACAAAAAATATTCAAGCACCCACTAATCAACAAAGTGAATGATTGAGCACTGGGATGGCAAATATTGTGGGAATGCAGATTTTTGCCCACAAAGCCCCTGAAAAAGTGGAAAAAAACAGAAGTGCCTACTCCGTTTTTTCCGTGTTCTTTGTTTTGGGCTTGATTGAGGTCGGCTGACCATCTTAAAAGTAGCGGTTTTGAGACGATCCCGAGGTATACGGGCAATAAGCTGTGAGAATAACTTGCGGAGCGTGCTAGTAAACAGAGGAGTCGTTTCAGTTTTGTTTTATGAATGCTGTTTGTTGATGTGTATTAAAAAGAATTTTATTTCAGATTGATTTTAGTCAGTAATTTAATGGGTTACCAATACATTTATATGGTCATTTAGGGAATGAATTAGGTATCATGATAAGGTGTCACACAGCTAGAAGTCATTTGTCATGTGTCTTCAGGTCCACCTTTTTTGTGGAATAAGATCTGATCTCGTTAACACCTCTGTCAATTTTAAATAAAGCTGTGCTGTTCTGCTATGAATGAAACGTGGCTTTGGTTTCTGTGACTTTTTCAATAGCCTAGATCTAAACCACAGACTACTGTCATTTATGAGACAACAGCATTGTTCACCTCCACCCGCGTGAAGTAATATTTACCTCTGAAAACACAAGCCATAACCACACCAAACTAAATGCAAGTTGCAAACAGCAATTCACAGGGTTTACTTCACATTGGGGTTCATGTTTAAAACACTTTCAGACATTTAAACAAAAATAAATGTCAATTAATATTTAGCAATCTTTAATTAATAATAAGCAATATCTGTGATTGTTAGAGATTTGTACAGCACAGAATTTTTAATGACAAATAAATAAAGCAGTTCGGATGTAGTGTTGTTTGAAAGAGGACATCTAATATATAATAAAAATGATGTATTAATTATTTTATTTATAGAACATCATATGAGGTATTAAAGCGCCCCCTAGTGCCGATTTCTTCCAAATTTAACAACAATTAATATTTTAACTACTGTGATGGTTAGGATTGGGGTGGGGGTAGGCATTACAAAATGCAATGTATTGGGTAATTTAATAGATAGCATAAATAATACTCGGTACAACTACAGTGCTGTGACGGTTGGGTTTAGGGTTGAGGTGGGTGTAGATGTTAATAAAATACAATAAATGGGAAATTTAATAAATAATACAAATAATTCTTGTAAACTTTCAGCCATATCCAATCTAGCAACAACAACCCTTTAGGGCATGAGGTGTCCAAACAAACCCAGTCCAAGAGGACCACCTATGTAAGCCTACACCTGTCTAGAGTGGACACCTTAAACCCTAATAACGCTCTGGTAAGCCTAATAACGCTTTAATTAGTCGGTTTAAGTGTGTTAACGTAGGATAGGAGCTAAAATTCCATCTTTCGGATGAGACGTTAAACCGAGGTCCCGACTCTCTGTGGTCTTTAAAAATTCCAGGATGTCCTTCGAAAAGAGTAGGGGTTCAAGCCCGGCATCCTGGCCAAATCTGCCCACTGGCCTCTGTCAATCATGGCCTCCTAACCATCTCCATATTCAATTGGCTTCATCACTGTCTCCTCTCCACCAATCAGCTGGTGTGCGGTCTGGTGCAAAATGGCTGCCGTCGCGTCATCCAGGTGGATGCTGCACACTGGTGGTGGATGAGGACATCCCCGCCATTGTGTAAAGCGCTTTGAGTGCCCAGAATAGCGCTATATAAATGTAAGGATATATTATTATTATTATTAAAATAAGCCGGACCGAGAAAATCTTTTAGGTAATTTATTCCTCTAAGTTATTAACATGGTCCCACTGGTGCATTTGTTCCTTACACATACAAAACCTTTTTGAAGTTCTCCCATGCAGGCAATTGTGCTAAGACTGTGATCTATTCCCTGCAACATCAGGCCACAATCAGGTGTCCACAATCAGGTGGTTTGTCTTGGTCTGGCATCTCAGCTGAGACCTGTCCACTATGGGTGACCCTGCCAGTACTTGTGAAGTACCAGTGGTGAAGCTCTCAGTATCACTGATGCACAGAAGCCCTCACAGCACGTCAAGCTGCAAACCATGTGAGGGACCCTAACCTAACCTACCCTATACTAACCTATCACTGACCGACCAACACTCAGAGGAGTCCAGCAACTGACCAGCAACACTAAGAGACCGCTCAGAAAACCCTGCAAAGCGCATGTCAAAAACACAGAAAACTTTCCAAAACAACCTGACAACCAGAACCCAAGAGCCACATCAGCAACCATCAAAACATTCAGCAGAGTGATAAAAACTTTGAATGAAAAGAAAACTTAATGTAAAGACTTACTCTATAACTATATACAGTATGTACATACGTGCCCTTGATCTTTCATGGGACACTATGATGGCTCAGTGTCTGGGCTTCTTTCTTCGGGGTTCCTCCTCGGGTAGTGGCTCTCCACTGATGTCCACGTGGATTTGAGGAGCGCTGCTGCTTCCGCTGGACCTGCTCTCCGTGATCAAGACTCGTCCATCAGGCAGCTCGGTCTCCAGCAGCGTAGGCCGGTGGAGCTTCTCCCACAGCCGTTGCTTGATCCCCAGGCCTCGCTTGAAGCGGTAGCGGCTGCAGCCGGTCTCCACGACGGAGCGAAAGATGTGCTGATAGTCCTGCACGCTTCTGCCGTGGATGGAGAGCTGCTGCTCCTGCTGACACTCGTTCACTGAGGAAGACACTGATGCTGCTGCTGCTGCTGCTGCGGGACGGAGGACAGGGAGGGCCGCCGCGTTCATCAGGTGTCGCTTCTTCAGCGCTGGGTCAGAGATGCAGCTGTAGGTGTGATCTGACCTGACCGCCGCTGCGAGCTGCTCAACGGTAGAGACGCCCTGTAGCCAGAAGTGACTCGTGTGTGCGGGGAGAGCCCTGGTTCTTCTTGAGCGACGCTGCTCCATCAAGATGACCCAAGAACAACTTTCCAAAGTAGAGAAACTGATCAAACTTTTCAAAAGTTGTCGAGAGTTTGTTGCGAGACGATCGGGTCAGAACCAGCTGTGTATATTAAAGATCAACTCAAGTTGCTGTAGTGACAGAATGACGAGCCTCATTTAAATGTAAACAATATTTAATATCAGCAGTGAATTAATGAAATCAGCACGAACTCTGTGCTTTTATAATTGAGTTTTTATTAAATGCAGTAGCTAAATATCTAAATTATGATTATTCAATAAAATGCTGGTCTTATATTAATAAAAAAATTAAAAAATAAGCATAAATGGGCGTTTTTTATAGGACAAATGTTGACCACTGAAAATCGTCACAGGTTTCAGAAATCTGTTCATGTTAGTGAATATTACCATTGATTTTTGTTTGCTTTTGGGATGGTTTGCGTTTCATTAAAAAAAAAAAAAACACTGAACTAATATTCTCGTTTCTATATTTCATAATTAACTAGGCCTATATCAGACCAACCGGGACTTTAGCAATGACATTGTTCTTTTGATGCTTTGTATACTTAAATTTTCACAATTTTCCTGCACTGACTGGGTGATTTAATATTTTTATAGTATTATTAAAATTATTAATCATAATAATGCTATAAGCAATACAATAAACCAAAATACATTCCAAAAAAATCTAAATCAAAAATATAAACCAGTATCAGATACAACGACAACTAGCATTAATAAGATTAAAAAAGCTAAATATACAACAGTTTATTTTGATTAGCTATTAGCTTATTAGGTCAGGGAAGTGCTAATCATTCATTCTGAGTGAAGGTTTTTATTTATTATTATTAAAATAGCTTTAAGAAACTTAAAACAACCATGCCAAATAAAAAAATGTAAATATGCGTGCCCTAAAACATATTGGTTTATTTGACTATGGCAATTTTATTTATTTACATTTTATTTAATGGTTTACTTTTAGGCTATCACAAAATATTAACCACTTTCATTGACCAATGTGCTCTCCAACAAATAAACAGAAAGGGAAACAGAAACTAAATAGTAAAAAAAGTATTTGAAAACATAAAAGTCTTTAATCTAGACCAAAAGATATTGTTGTACAGAGCTCGTCTTATTGACTGTGGTAAGGCTCATTTATACACATATATACTGTGTATAGAGGAAAATAGGATGCAATATTTCAAGTTTATTTAAAAAGCTGTGCATATCTTCAACATTAAATGAATATGAAATAAACTTTTTATAATAAAAACTGACTCCAGGATCATATCAATGTTTGAACTGTAGTTTACAGATTTGTATTTAAAATTGAATGGCAAAGCCACAAAACGAATAAAATAAACAAAAAATAGTGTGATGTGACAAATCTGATTAACAAACTAAAAATATATCATTAAAATAACAGAGAGGGAAAATTACAAACACAGGAAAAAAAATTTATGTTTTTTACTTCCCAGTCCCAGACGTTCCTGAAATGTCATAATCACATGTCCAAGTGTTTCTTTACAACAGTAGTATGAAAATCGCCCCTGGTGGTGATGTGATCAGGACTGTAGCTGGAGAGGCAGGAAGTCAGGCCCGGCGCTACGGGGGGGCAAAGGGAGGCATTGCCCCCTCAGAAAGAGTTTGAGCCCCAATGTGCCAACAATCCCAATTTTCATAAGGGATTGTTTACTCAAACTGAAAATTCTTTCTGTCATTAACTATTAACACTCCCGTCGTTCCAACCGTCAGAACACACATCTAAATATTTTAAAATATATGACATAGCAATTGAATTATGAAAATTGGTGAGATTAAAGCTAGTCCTATAGTCCAGAGATCCGGTCCCCGCGTCAGGTCTGGTGCGCCCGTAAATAGCCTTTAAAACGCGCACACGGCGATGGAGGCGCACTCAACTCACAAGGGAGAAAATGGGTGACATGATAGGAGCAGCTTAATTCATTACATGTTTTGGTTAACTAATTATTTAAACACAACTCTCTTGAGCTCTAAAAGGGAAAAAAACACATAAGAAATTTGCTGTTAAATTAATTTTAGCAGAGACGCAACTGCCAGTCATTTATTAGTTATTCGGGAAGATGTAGCCTAATAAAAATGTTTTAATAAAAATAAATAGTTTACTGCACAGTCCCACAGTAGGCTACACTATAAATAATATTTTAAATGTATTTATTAATATTATTATTAATATTATTGCGATTAAGCTAAAATTGACAAAACGCAGAACCCTTTGAAAGTTTGCTTTCATTTAGCTAAAAAGCGCACTTTTACAGTTGTGTAGAGAAACGTTCCATTATGCAGCAGCAGTCAAGGTATAACACATAATAAATGCCTTTTGGGTTTAAAGATGATCGGCCTGCGAAGTCAAGTTTGCAGTGTTATAAATGGAATAGGTATAGTGCTTAAGTGGATTTACCGCGGATCAACCGAGAAACCTCGTGCGCTGCAGGTAGGCAGAATGATAATCTTTTGAAAATATGTAATTTAGGCTGTACTGCTATCTATTGTGTATGTTTACAACAAATTCAGCAAAATCATTTTGTTAGAATAGTTTCAATTAGCATGTTGTACTGACCGCTGC